CGTGTTGGAGTTGTTTGCATAAACTTGCTATGGACCTTTGAGTTCATAATAATGATCCTTTTAGAAGGTGGCAAAGTGGCCAAGGAAGGGCTATGTCACCTTTGGGGCAGAAAAGGAAAGTCATCTCTTCTCCAGGTCTTCCTTCACAAAAAGCCATCCTCTTCAAAGCCCAGGCCACCAAAGCTCTTCCATCTCTGCTGGCCCACACTTGGCCAGTGAATGAGGACCCTCCCTGGCCTGGTACCCCACCTGGTCTGCTGTGGCCAATGCACTCTGCCCTTTGCAATCAGCCCAGGGAGAAAGTCTAGGAGACACCCGTGAGGAAACTAAGGCCCAGGCAAGTGGAGTGACCTTGTCAAGAGCCAGACAGGGAGGAAGCGCTGAAGGTGGGCTTTGAAGCCTAGGGCTCCAACCGGTCTCTCCCTAGACCTGAACATGAACCTCTGGCTCCTGGCAGGAGGTCTTGGCTCTTGGGTTCACTTGTAGGAAGAGGGTGACTGGACCCTTTCACATCAGAGAATCCACAGCATGCTGTACTGGCTCCACGTCCTCCTCCGGCATTTCCTAGGTCACTCCATTTCCCTTGGCCTCAGTTTTCTCTCCCGTGAAGTGAAGGTGTTAGCTCAGACCGCCTCCAAAGTCCCTCTCACTGCTAGATCTGCGGTCCTCCCATTCTCGTATCAGACGGGAGATTAGACTAATGGAGTGGCCTCCCCAACCTAGCATTCGGCACTGAGCCCCTGTGGTTCTCCTTAATTATCACATATGTGGCTGTGCTTCCTGCCCCCTTCCTTCTTGGCACCATGGGGGAAGGGAGAGAAAGGACCCCTCTAAGAAGAGGCAGAGCTTGTCTTAGGAAGCAGTGTAAGTGACTCCCTGGAAACATAGCATCTTAATGTTCCTAAAATGACACTTTTGGAGTGCTCACAATGTCTAGAGTGGTGTGAAATACGAGTACAGAACACACTGTACCCAGTGGGCACTGCCTCGCCTGGCACACATCTTCCTGCAGCTCCGCGCTTCCATTATCTCCATCCCAAAGGCTTCCTTCCTCCCAACAACAAGATTCTGCTTCTTAAAACCCACACAATTATCTACGGTGTATTTCCATTCTCCAGACGTCAATGCACACCTTGTTTCTTCAGTCTGTTATTTCACGGATGTGTAATTAGCACGCATTCCATCTGCTGGCGACAGGGGTGTGGAGTCCGCTGGCGATGTCTGCGATGAAGATGCTTCTTAACCCTTCCTGTGGAGCTAAGCCCCGGAGATGTGTGTACCACAGTGTGCGGGGAGGGGCCCCGCCCCAGGCTGTCAGAGAAGATGGACCTCCCACACCCATGGGCACGATCGTTGGACATGCAGCCTCTGAGAAGAAGCTTTTCATCAGACAGCATCCTAGGACCTACTGGGGCCATTAAAGGATGTGGAAGGAGATGAGCTGGCAGGGACCTTCCTTCCTGAGGGAGATTCTGGCCATCCCCGGCCACAGTGTGAAGGTGCTGACCCAGCAGCTTCAGTCTCTGCAATGGGATGAGTCTGGGGCTGTTTGGTCCAGTGATCTGGAGCCTGGGGCTAAGGAAGGGCAAGGTTGTGGGTTAGGACCCTGGGAGAGCTAGCTACTTTCTTCTGTTACCAGCCACAGACTGACCCCAACTTTGCCATTTAGCTGCCTCATCAATGTGTGCTATGGTCTGAAGAGGCACCAGCCGAAGGAGTGTGGAAGGTTCAGACGGCCCATACCCACTGCCGGAGGGACAGCTCATGCTTGCTGTGGGCCGGGTTCAGCCCGGGAGCACTCCTCCCTGTGGGCTAGGGAAATAGCTCATTGTGTATTTGGCCCATTCTCAGTTGGGTTTCCCTTCCCAGGAAATGGGGCTAGCCTTCCCCTCCCCCTTCAGACAGAGCAGGCTCTTCTCCAAACTTGTATGTCTGTGTCACCAGGAGATATTTCTGTCTCTCCTCCTGGCCCCACCTTTAAGGTGCGCCACTGCCTTCCTGGGCTAACTCTTCCCCCCTTCTCTTTCTGCATTCCAGCCTCCGCACCTAGTTTGATTGCTAGGTAGAGGCGTGATGGATGGGTTTGTGGGAACCACCTGGTAGCAGAGATGGGAGTGGGTTCCATAGGTCTTGCTCAGGAAATTAGCCACTTGCGGTTCAAATCTCAGCCTTCCTAATAGGGATGGAGTAAGTCTTTCCATCCATTGAAAGGGGGATAATAGTTCCAAGGAGGCCTACTTTGCCAAAGGGGTCTGTGGGATTCTCTGGAGCAGAGGATGGGCAGACCCAGCTGGGAGATAGGCATTCTGGGGCATGAAGAGAGCACAGTCCAGGATAGCAAAAGGAGTTCCCAGGGGATGAGGAGAAGCCAAGGTTTTTAGAGGCTGTTAGTGTACCTGGCATGAGATCACCTTCCAGCATTGCACGCTTTTCTTGACCTGGGATCCATCTACCTTCCAGGGGTCTGTGGATAGATTTCAGGAGGTCTGTGAATTTGAGTGTGAAAAATTACATCTTCACTTTAGTATCATTGGTTTTCTTTCCAATTCTGTGTATTCTATTTTATGCATTTAAAAATATGATTGTGAGGAGAAGTCCATAGGCTTTTGCCAGACACCATAGGGACATGCCCTCAAAGAGCTTACATTCTTCTGAGTGGGGTCGGCCCATGAGGGAAGGGGTGAAGACAGAGCTGATGTTGTGGGGAGCGGTGTGAGAGCACAAGGAGCTGAAGTTGTCTCCAAGGTTATGAACTTCGTGACTCGGACAATGGCCACGCCCTTGACAGAAGCAGGAGACTGAGAGGAGGCTGGGTGGAGAACCGAGTTGATGTTTGAGATGGTTCTGAGACATCTGACAGGCATTTAGAGATGGGGGAACGAGCTAGGGACAGAGATGAAGGCAGGACCCAGAAATCTGGGAAGGATAGGCATCAGGAGGACAGATGAATCCGTGGGAACAGATGAAATCACCCAGAGAAACACAAAGGAGAGAGAAGGCGGCCCAGGACAGAGCCTGGTGTGGGTGGGACCCATAGGTAGGAGGCAGGCTCGAGGATGAGCCAGCAAAGGAGACAGAGAAGGAGTGGTCAGACAGGCAGAATGTGTGAGGCTGAGTCAGGTGTAAGAAGACTGGCGAGGGAGGAGGGGGCCAGGTGTCTGTGAATGCCAAGCAGAGGATCTTGTATTTGATCCTTGGAGGTGAGATGGAGCCCCTGGAGTGTACTGAGTAGGGGGCTCACGTGATCAGCTTTAGGAAGAGTGGCTGAGTGGAGGGGAGAGGGACCTAAGGCAAACAGATCCCCTCCCCCAGCTGCTACTGCTATGGTCCAGGTGCGAGGTGAGGAGGGTCTGCCCCAGGGCGGAGGCAGGGTCAGAGGAGAGAAGGGGGTGTGGGGGAGAGACATTTCCAAGGTACACTAGACAGGCCTTGGCCACAGATTGGATCTGGGGATGAGATGGCACCTAGGTTGGGAGCCTGGGAGACAGGGAGGAGGATGTGGCCCTTGAAAGTAATAGGGAAATTTGGAAGAAGGGAAGGATGGGGTGGGGAAGGTAATGAGTTCAATTCTGGACATGCTGAGTTTAAGATGTCTACTGGACATCCAGTTTGAGATGTCTGAAAGGCAGTCGGAGATTCAAGACTGGAAATTAGCAGAGGCTAGGGCTGGCTGAGTAGATCTGGGAACCAAGAGTATGGAGAGGAGGCCGCTAGGGGGCGCCATAGTGCACAGAGCGCCAGACCTGGAGTCTGGAAGACTCATCTTCCTGAGTTCCAATCTGGCCTCAGACACTTCCTAGCTGCGTGATCCTCAGTTTCCTCATCTGTAAAATGGGCTGGAGAAGGACATGGTTAAACCACCCCAGTATCTTTGCCAAGAAAACCCCAGATGGGGTCATGAAGGGCCAGACACAACTGAAACAAGTGATCAACAGTGTGGAAATGAGAACTGAATGCATAGAGTCCATGGCACCACCAAGTGAAAGACCTCAGAGGACAAGAGGCCTGTTGAGTCCCGCCGAAGCCCGCCTTCTGCAGGAAACCTTTCCCAGCCCCCTCTTAATGCCAGTGCCTTCCCTCATCTTGCATATGACTTGTTTTATCTGTAGTTGTTTGCACGCTGTCTCCCCCGCCAGACTGTAAGCTCCCGGAGGGCAGGGACTAGCCTTTGCCTTTTTCTATCCCCAGCACTTAGCACAGTGCCTGGCACATAGTAGGTGCTTAATGTTTATTGATTGATTGAGCCTCGGGGGGCGCCCACAGTTATCAAGCCTGACTCAGATGAAGATCCAGAGCAGGGAGGCAGAGAAGGAGTGGTCAGAGAGGTAGGAGAGACTTGGGGTCCATTTTCTTTCTGACCAGAATGAGGTGGGAGGAGGTGGGTCAGTCACACCAGCAACATTGCTTCACGTCATCATGTGGGCCAGCCCCTGGCTCTTCTCCTGGGCAGGCACAGAGACAGCCAGCTCCCTGGCGTCTGCTTCTCTGAACCCTGGATCATCCTTCTGTCCTTCTCCTTCCCAACCCCTCTTATCATGTCTCTCCCCACCAACAGTCTACTGTGACCCCCTGATCGTCATCAGGTCAATGCCGACTTCCTTCCCTACACTTCCAGGTGCCCCATCAATCTGGCCCTGCCTTGTGCATAGCCCCACCATTCTGGTCTGGACTCAGTCACCGGTCTGGGTGTTGTCTGTCCATGTACTGCCATGCTCATCCCCACCCTGATACATGGACACCTCAGGTATTCAGGGCTGGGCTTTTCTTGTTCTACATCCATCAAAATCCTGCTTGTCCAGAGAGGACACGCCCCTCTCACCACCTTCTCTGGAAAATAAGCCTCCTGCTCTGCCTACAGGTGAAGGCAGCCCTGTCTGGCTCATATGCGACCATGCCAGGACATGTGGTCACTGACCTCCTGGTAGGGGGAGGAAGGAGGGCTGAGGATGGCTTTTCTGACACCTGTAATGAGTCTGGCTCTTCTCTCATCTGTTTTACAGTCTGTGGTTATGCCCAGCCGGAGAGGGACTGCAGAAGCATTGCAGATCACTGTGGGCCACATCTTGGGAGATGCTGGCAGCCCCTACCTCATTGGACTAGTAAGGACTTGGGAAGGGGCAGGAATCTCTTTTTTTTTTTTTTTTTTTAGGCAACTGGGGTTAAGTGACTTGCCCAGGGTCACACAGCTAGTAAGTGTCAAGTGTTTGGTCTGAGGCCAGATTTGAACTCAAGTCCTCCTGACTTCAGGGCCAGTGTTCTATCCATTGTGCCACCTAGCTGCCCCAGGGATTGTTTTCTTGAAGGAAGATAATGATGCTTTCCTTCCCTGGGGCTGGACCTCCTGTGCTGGAGAGTGTCTGAGTCGAAAGTCCCTTAGGGACATCCCATTTGGCCCACATTGCTCTCCATAATCTCTGGAATATCCCCAGTAAGTGGCCATCTATCTGCCCTCCCCCCAACCTGTCAACCAGCTCCACTTTGGGACAGCTTTCAGTGAGAGGAAGGTCTTCCTGCTCTTGGGCCTCAACTGGCCTCTTTGAAGCTTTCCCCTTCCCCCATTTTGTGGCTCCCAGCTCTGTCTCAGGCCAAGGAGAATAAGCCCGGTCCCTCTTCCAGGCTGTGGCCTTTCAAACATCAGTTGTGAGGCTTGCTAGCAAGAGGTTGAGAATGTGGGGATCTCTAGCACTCTGATCTGTGGGAAATGGGGAAAGATGAATCCAGGGCAGAGTTGGAGGTTCAAAGTCATGGCCAGCTCCAATTCTGGCAGCCAGGTGGAGGGTGGATTGGAGGGGGAGAGACAAGTTAGGGCCATCAGCCAGGAGGTTATTGCTAGAGTCCAGCAGGAGTGAGACAGGTCTGGCCTGGGCTGGTGGCTGGGGGAATGGAGAGAAGAGGTGTCTGAGGAATGGCGGGGAGGTAGAAAGGACCAGATGTGGTGACATCACCTCCCCAGTAAGACGTGTAAGAGGGATTCGGGCATGACGATGAGGTTGTGAGTGACCCAAAGTACAGCGGCGCCTTCAGTAGGAGGAGGAAGATTGGCGAGTGGGGAAGGCTTGGGGGAATGCTGGTGAGTTCTGTTTTGGGCATGTTGATATGAGATACCTGTGGGACATTTTAGACATGTCCAAGAGGCATTTGGTGATGTGGGACTGAAACTCAGGTAAGAAACTCAGGCTGTCTTTATGGACCTAGGAATCCTCTGCCTGAAGATGCTAACTGAACCCAAGGGAGCTGAAGACATTGCCCAAAGAAACAGCAGAGGGGGAAAGGGAAGGGGCCCAGGGCAAAGCCCTGGGGGCAATCTGGGCAAGGACCTGTGAGAGGAGGCCAAGATGAAGTGGTCAGGCAGGGAGAGAGCCGTGCCTGAGCAGGGCCACAAACCCGGAGGCGGGAGGCCGGCGAGGTATTTTATATGAACCCCGTTTTTCCTCCCCATTGGAATCCTAACCTTTATGTCCTGACAAAGTCATTCTCATGAGTTTACCATCACCCCTGAATTAGCTTCTCCTAGAGAACAGTCCATGAAGCCGGATGTACCTTCATCTCTGAATGTGCTTTTCCCACATCGAGAGGGCAGATTGCATTGTGCCTGGCTTTCCTCACCTCCCACCTGGATTCTCGGTAGCAGTGGCCACTTTGTGCCATGCAGGATTCCCATCTTTTTAGACCAAGCAATCTCTGCCTCCCCAGAGAACCAGATCTCTTATTGGTAAGGAGGAGCTTGTAAATAGGCTAGTCCGGGAGTCATTACTGGCTGCTTTTTGAAGAGAGAGAGAGAGAGACAGAGACAGAGAGAGAGACAGAGACAGACAGGCAGACACAGAGAGACAGAGAGAGAGAGAGACAGAGACAGAGAGAGAGACAGAGAGACAGACACAGAGAGACAGAGAGACAGAGACAGAGACAGAGAAACTCCAGTATGTACATGTGTGGATACTCGAACACTTGAAACCTAGATAGCAGCCACTTGACTGTGACCAAAATACAGTTATTGCCCTTTTTGGCAGATGCTGCAGAAGTCATTCTGCTTTCCCACAGATGGAGGTCTCAGCCTTGTTTTTGAAATGCTTGCAGACACTTCCACTCCACCCCTAAAGTCCCTGCTTAAAACGTTAGAGCTTTTTATGAACATTACAGCCAGCACATTTCTCTCTTTTCAGGCCAATCTCGTATTTATTATTTGCCAGTTTGGTCTAGTTACTGATTCTGTGGCCAGTTCGTTCACCGGCTGTTTGCTTACCTTTTCTCTCCTGCCTCTCCTTCCCAACTGCATTCTCCCTGTGTCTCCTTCTTCAAAATGGTTCTCAATAGTCCTTCTCAATCCCTGTTACTGCTCCTGGCTCCCTCTCATTCCTCCTCATCCCATCTTCTCTGGGAATGACTAGAAGTAGCTTCTGGATGGGAGATGGCTCTCTAATTTTCTTCGTTGCCTCCACAAATTCATTCAGTCTCTGGCCTTCTTCACAAGTACAAACCCCTTCAGGCCACCTTCACAGTTTCCTTCTCCTTATTCGATCAAACACTTCTCTCTTCTCCTGCTCTTTTTCCCATAGAAGGTGGAGGGGGTGCTGTTTTGAAGACAGTTCAGGCAGGTCTGAAGCCTTTGAGATGTGCCCTCAGGTAGCATCTGAAGTCAGAAGCAGCTGGCTCTGGTCGCTGGGGCCAGATCTTCTTTGCACAAAGTCACCTCAAATTAGGTCCAGAACTCATGGCAAACTCCATCTAAGGCAAACTACCAGCATGGGACTGATAGTCCAAGAGAATTGGAAGGGGACCTTGGAGAGCGCTTGGAAGGGGAGTCAACTCAAACTTCCCCCTCAAATGTGAAACCTTATGGCGAGCTGACCTGGTGTGTGAAAACTTCATTTTCCGCAAAAGGTAAACCAGGGACATTTGACATGATGGCTCTCTGCTTAAAGAAAAGGAATTTGTACAGGATTCTTTTAAGTAGCAAATTTCCACAGGGTACTGAGTATCCCAAATAACTGCCCAAGGATCACTTTTTACCCGCCTTTTTCAAGAACAAGTTGATTGCGTGAAGTGAAGTGACTCAGGCATGGATGACCTCCACATGCCTAGTCCCGCGATGATGCCGTGGCGCAGAGACAAAACGAGGTGCCACATGGCCCTGCCCTCCCTGAGGAGATGGCACCCACTCCTGAAACATGCAACAGGCTAAGACAGTGTGTAAGCAGGGCCCAGGCTGCACATCTCAAGCCCAAGTGCTAGAGAAGTCTGGAAAAGGGAGGTCGCTGTGCCTCCTACAGGAAGCCTTTCCTGGTCTCGCCGTTGGTCAGTGCTCTCTCCCTCCAGTTCAGACGTGCACTGTGTGCATGCCGTATCTTCCCAGAAGTTGGGAGCCTTCTTGAGGGCATGGGCTATCCCTGCTTTGCCCCTGGTCTTTGCCTCCCCAATGCCGAGCACAGTGCCCAGCCCATTCTGTAGCAAGGATTAACAAATGCTTGTTGAATTGGATTTGATGGGACAGGAATCACCAGGGGAGGCTGGGCAGGGTGGGGGGTGGACCTGAAGGCCGGCCACAGCAGCAGGTGGGCCTGGGGGAAGGGGCAGGGAATGGCAGGTGCTGGCAGAGGGAAGAGGAGGGCCCCTGCTATTGCCTGGGTTTCCTCTGAGGAGAGCCCGACCCACAGATGCTGCCAGGGGCTGAGCAGGCCAGTGCTCTGATGGCCCCAGCAGGCTCCCTCAGCCCCTCCTTCTCTCTGGACAGGTGTCTGTTGCCCTCCAAACAGCCCACGTGGACTCCTCCCTGTGGCTTTTCCGAAGTCTGCAGTACGGCTTCTTCATCTGCATCTTCGTTGATGTGCTGGGGGGTGCCTGCTTCCTGGTGACTGCCGTGTACATGGAGCGTGGCCTGCCTCAGGCCCCAGGTCAGCCATCTGCTTAGCTCCCTTTCCCGGTCTCATAGTTTGTAAGCACAAAGGTCTGGTGCTGGAAGGTACCTTCAAGGCCATCCAGTCCACCCTCTCATTTTACAAAGGAGGAAACTGAGGAAGGCCAGAAAAGAGAAAGGACCCTGTGTCCGGGCTCTCATGCTGCCCCATGGACCCTCTCTGGGCCCTGGCCAAAGGCTGACCTGTTGACCACTCATGCCTTTGGTCCCAGGTAGGGGGAGGGTGACATTTTCTGATGTTCATCCCCTGCCCCCCCCCCCAGGGTGCCTTAGTGAAAATGTGGGTGCCTGTCTTACACAGACCTTGGCTTTTCTGCTCGCCACACTGATGTCTACCTCTGTCCCCATAGCCACCGAAGAGTCCTGGGAGCACCGAGGATGAAGATCTCAGCCTCCTGGCGCTGGGGGTCCCAGGAGTGAGCAGCCTCCATCTTCACTCTTCTCAGACCCTGCCCTCTGGCTGTCTCCTGCTGCCTTGACCTGGGCCTGGGCCCTGAGAAACCTACTGAGTCAGGAGGAACCTTGGCAGGGTTGGCTGGGGAGCTGCCCTTGGTGCTGGCTGCCTCAGGGAATTGAGCGGTTGGGTCTCCCTCTCCAAGCTGACTGTGCCAGGGCCTCTCTTGGGAGGTGGGTGGAGGGGGCAGGAGGGGGAGGATGGGAAGAGTTCTTGGGCATTTCTCCCAGCCCCAGGCAGATTCCTTGTCAGGACCTGTCTTGGCTTAGGGAAACTACAGGGTATATAACCCTTGGGGGCTTAGAAACCTGACATCAGAGAGATAATAAAAATGCACTGTGGTTTCTGTTGTGAGTGGGCCTCCCTGGTGGCATGGGGAGAGAAGCCTGGGCATGCTGGGACCTGCCAACCTTGGGCTTGGTTAGTCAGCTCTCTGGCTTTGCTTGATTGGGTCGCAGGCTGTGTGTCAGCCTCCATCAGCTCCTGGAAGGAGGTGGGAACCCCGTCCTTGGGAAGGGGCTGCTGTGAGGTGGGAGAATGGTTCTGACACAGAGGGAGCTCAGGGAAGTGGGGGAGGGGCTGCCCCTGTGTGTCTCAGGGCTCTCTAACCCATCAGAAAACATCAGGGACTCGTGGAAAGCCAAACCATCTGGCCCGTCCCTCTTCCCCAGGTGGGTCCAGAGCCCTCCTTTCACACAAAAAGGTCCCAAGTCAGCTCCTCAAAGGTGCACCAGGCATTGCTCAGGGAAGCATAGGACTACGCAAGCCCTCTCCTCTCCCTCCTCCCTGCTGTGGTTCCCTCAAGGGCTCCGATCAAAGCCCACCTTCTACAAGAGACTTTCCCCCGGACCTCCAAGGTGCTGAAGCCTCCTTCTGACATTACCCTCCATCTACTTGGTCTCTGTCTTAGTCATGATAATATTAATAGTTAATCATGATAGCTAACACTTTTAGGTTTGCAAAGTGCTTTTCAAATGTCATCCCCTTTTATCCTGACAGCAACTATGGGAGGCAGGGGTTGAAATCATTACCCTTTTTATAGATGGGGAAATGGAGGCAGAAAGGAACACGTGGCTGGGAAGGCTCAAGGTTCCAGTGTGCTAGCCAATGTGTCCCCTGGTTGCTTCACCTTAGGTGTGACTACTTTTCCCCGTGTTGTCTCCTCCATTGAACCACAAGCTCCTTGAGGGCAGCCCCTATTTTTACCATTCTTCTTCTTTCCAGAGTGTTAACACCATGCCTGGCACATAGCAGGCTCTTAGAGGATGCTTGTTCAGAGACAGAGAAGAGGGCAGGCATTCCTGGAACGGGGCTCGGCTTGGACAAATGTACATAACTGGCAGATGGGGTGTAAGCAGCGGAAGGGCCAGCAGCCCAAGTTGGCTGGAGCCCAGAGGGCAGATACATGAAGTGAAGCCAGGAGCTCAGGAGCCATGACCAGGACCAGCTACCAGCTGGGGCTCAAGGGACCAGGTTCCAAATCTAGCACCATTTTCTATCTTCCCTTCCTCATTTCCCACAGTGCCCCTTCTTCTTTGGGACCCCCTCCCCCCTCCTCCAGGCCCAAATAGGGAGAAAGGGAGCATGGATGAGTCAGCAAATATTTACTAAGTGCCTACTATGTGCTAGGCACTGGGGATGCAAAGACGAGCTCACAATCTAATGGGAGAGGCTTAGACAGGATAAACTAGAGATAATCACCAGATGAACAAAGGAACTAGCATTAAGGGAGATCAGGTAAGGCTTCTTGTAGAAAGTGAGGACTCAAGAAAGCCGAGGAAGGCGATAGTCAGAGCAGAGGAGGGTGTTCCAGGTCTGGGGCACAGCCAGAGAGAATGGCAGGAGCTGAGAGATGGAGGTTCTGGTTCATAGAAGATCCAGGAGCTGGAGTCCTGGGTTCAAAGAGGACATGGTGGGGAGGGGGGTGTAAGAAGACAAGAAAGGGAGGGGGAGCAGGGTACAAAGGGCTTTGAATGCCAATCCTGGAGGCGATAGGGAGCCGCTGGAGATTATGGACTGGGGAGTGACATGGTTGGACCTGGGCTTTAGTTTAATTCTTGCTTTCCTAGGGTTTTGGTCTCAGTATGGATGTGACCTAGCTGTGGGGTCTTGGGCACTTCATTTCCCATCCTTTGGCCTTAGTCCTGTCCATTGGACTAGATGGTTCCTAAGAGCCTCCCTGGTTGGAAATGCTGTCTTGGTGGCCTCACTCCATTGGCAGAAAACGAGGCAGCTACGAGTGAGGGGGTCCCGTGGCCATCGTCTGTTCAGACAGCATGGGCTGCAGTCTGCATCATTGAGCCATGCCCACCTTGGTGATGCCGCAGGCCCACTGGAGTGACTGGAGAAGCCCCCCACCAGCCAGGCAGGCTGAGGAGGGTCTGTGGACCAAAGGGAATTAGATGGTCAGCCAGGGAGATTTCAGCATCCTGGCAGTACAGACACTGACTAGCAGTGTGAAGAGCACCCAGTCCTGGCTGCGCTTGACAGGTGGCGCCTGCTTGTGTTCAAACCTTAGTGTCTGAGCTGGTCCTGGCACTGGCTTGGGGCACAATCTGTCCCAGGAATCCCCAGACGAGGGCCAGACGGCCAGCGATGGAAACAGGAAGGCTCCTGAGGCTACTTGGTGGAGCAGACGAAGGAGGAGATACATTGGGAGCTGTGCCAGCAGGGGAGTGGAGTTCGATAAGCCACAGAGCTTGACTGGAGCCAGCTTAGTGAGGCTCTTCTACGTCAGGCCAAAGAAAAGGAAGTTGAGTCACAAAACAATGGGGAGCCCTTAAAGATCCCTGAGTAGAGGTGTGACACAACAAGAGAAGAGCCTTGGGCTGGAACCATGTAAAGGAAGGATGAGCGAGGGTTCAAGGGACCTAGGAGGAGACTGGAGCTTTAGGGAGAGGCAATGAGTGCTCTCACCTTCCTCCACATGGCCCCCCCAGCCTCTGCTTGGAGCCCTCCACTTGTGGGGAGCTCACCACCTGCCTGGGCAGCCCATTCCGATTTAATCTGCCTCCCCACAGCTTCACCCCCCATACCTCACGGCTTCTGCCCTCAGGCGCCCGATCCGTGTGGCAGCTGCCCTTTGGGGGCTTCAGCCAGCTCTCAGGTCCTTCCCCCCACTGAGTTCATTGGTGTTTTGGTGTTTCTCTCTCTCTCTGTCTCTCTGTCTCTGTCTCTGTGTCTCTCTGTCTCTGTCTTTGTGTCTCTCTTCCTTTCTCTGTCTCTCTCTGTCTCTCTCTCTCCCTCTCTGTCTCTCTCTCCCTCTCTCTGTCTATCTCTTAGTTCTCCTACCTCTTTGACTGCTCCTTTTCTGTCCCCTTTGCTGGATCTTCCAGACCACGCCTTCTAGCCAAAGGTGTCCCTCAGGATTCTGTCCTGGGCCTCTTCTCTTCTTCCTCTAGAGGAAGAATTACATCACTTGGGGATCTCAACAGCTCCCTTGGATTCAATGACCATCCCTATGCTGATGATTCTCAAATCTGCCTATCCTACCCCAATGTCTCTGCCGACTTCTAATCCCCAACTGCTTCTCAGACTTCTCAGACTGGACATCTAGTAGGCATCTTAAACTCGACAGGTACAGAATCAAATTGATTTTCTTTCCCCCTAAAGCCTCCCACACCCTCCCTTCCCTCTTGTTATTGAAGGCACTACCATCCTCCCAGCCCCTGGAGCGCCCAACCTAGGAGTCCTCACTATCTCGGCCCTGCCCCCCCCCCACAGCCAATCTGTTGCCAAGGCTGGACATCTTGCCCCCTCTCTTGGACCTGCCTCCTCCGACCCTGCCCCCACCCTGGTGCTGGCCCTTATTGCCTCATGCTGCTGGGGGAGGGGCATGCCTCTGTCCAGTCTCTCCCCACATCAGTCCATCCTCCATCCAGGAGCCAAAAGTGGTTTTTCCCAAGCACAGGGCCCACAGCGTCACTCCATTGCCCAGTAAACTACAATGGCTCCCTACGGCCTCCAGGAGCAAACACAGGATGCTCTGTCAGGCATTCAAAGCCCTTCGTCATCTGCCCCCTCCTTCCTTTCCAGTCTCCTGTGCCTTACTCCTCCACATACTCTCCTTCAGTGACCCTGGCCTCCTGGCTGTCCATCTCTCTCATCTCTGGGCCTTCTCTCTGGCTCTCCTCCATGCCTGGAATACCATCCCTCCTCTGCTCTGACCACTGCCCTCCCTGGCTTCTTTCAAGTCCCAACCACCCCCGCCTTCTACGGGAAGCCTTCCCCAGCCCCTTCTAATTCCTGAGCCTTCCCTATGCTGATTATTTCCTATTTATCCTGTATCGAGCTTACTTTGTATATATTTGTCCCCTTGTCTCTTCCATTAGACTGTGAGCTCCTTGAGGGCAGGGACTGTCTTTCGCCTCTTTTTTGTATCCCCAGCACTTAGCACAGTGCCTGGAACAGAGTAGGTGTGCAATAAATATTGATTGATTGAAAAAGGGGATTTTGTATTTGCTCCTGGAGGTGGCGGGGAGCCCCAACAAGACCTCGGGGAGTTACCCGGACTCGATTTCATCTGATGACATCAGACCCACAATCCAGCCTGTCAGACACCTTGTGGATCGGGACTCTGGCCTCCAGCATGGAATCGTTGCAATTACTGGGGACATTAAATCGTTCGAACTCGGTGACTGCTGAAATTTGGAGTACGTGAGAGCAGGCAGAAGAGCAGAATCATCCACGCAGCAAGCTGCCAGGGTCTGGACCAACATCCCCCCTCAATATGCCAGTATCTGGTTGCACCCCTCCAGGGACAGGGAGCTCTCTCCCTCCCTTGCTACCCCCAAGGCAGCCCTGCCCCTCTGGAATAGCTTTGGGAGCCAAGCCAGCTCAGATCAGCCAACACTCACAGAGCATCTGCTCTGTGCAAGGCTTGGTGCTGGGCCTAGGCATGTACGAGGAAAACAGCCCCCTCTCTCTCGAGGTACCTGCTTTCCTGGGGGAGACATCCGCACAGACGCAAAAATAAAAAGTGCAGACGAAGGAAGAATAGGAAAGGAAGAGGGAGTCTTCTCAAGGGAGGGGGAGATCAGAGGAGGCTTCCTGTAGGAAGGGGCAGCTCTGCTGGGCTTTGGAGGAAGGGGCTGAGGGTTAGGGAGGAGAGGATTCTGAGCTTCCGTACCTGGATGCTAGAGGCATTGACGGAGCCACAAGGAGGCAGCAGCAAGGACCGGGAGAGGGACTGGAGAAAATCACTGGCTCGGGCTGGGCCGAGCGCATCCACTCCAAAGGTTCTGCCGCCTAATCTCAACGGGCCCTCGCCACCGCGCCAGAGATGTTTCGCTCCTGCCCGTTCCCCAAGACCATGGTTCCACCTGTCTCTTCTCACCTCCAGCACCTTCCCCTCC